AGAACGTTGGAGCCAACAAGGTCCACTCACCAAAAGTGAAATTGCTGCCTGCCGCACAGCTTTAGGTGCACTGCAATGGCTGGCCATTCAGACACAGCCTCAACTTTGTGCACGTTGCAATTTGCTTTTAACTGAAGTTGTGACAAATGGAACAATTGAAACTGCACGAGAGATTCAACAAATGGTTTCAGAAGTTCGTGCAGATCCGCATTGCCTTGAGTTTTTCAAACTGCCAGGTACTCGCAAATGGACTGATGTGGTTTTCGTTTCCATGGGCGATCAATCACATGCTAATCGTCCTCAAGGAGACTCCACAGGTGGTTTGCTGACTTTAGCTGCTGGACCTGATGTTTCGTCTGGCAAGGTGGTCTTGATGAACCTTTTAGCCTGGCGAAGCTGGAAGCTCAAGCGCAAGGCAATTGGTAGCAATGATGCTGAAGTTCAAAGCATTCTTGAAGCAGAAGATCAGAACTTTAGAGTCAGAATGCTATGGAGTGAACTTCATGGTGCAGGACTTGATCGACCTGAACGGCGTGCTGACTTGGTGGACTCAGCAGAGAACCAAGCATGTATGGTAGCTGGAATTCTTTGCACTGACTCGAGAGGTGGCTATGACGCCATTGAAGTGAACGAGTCACCGCTGCTTGGACTTTCAAACATGCGTGCAGCTCTTCAAGCCTTCCAGCTGCGTGACAACCTGAAGAGGGTGAACTGCGATCTGAGATGGGTTGCTTCAGATTACGACCTTGCTGATGCCTTCACCAAGAAACGAGGCGACAGCAGAGTTGGTCTTTTGAAATTTCTGAAGAGCCGACACTGGTCGGTAGCCTATGATCCGAATTTCATAGCTGCCAAAAGAAACAGGAAGATTGGCAAGACGGCGATCCAGAAGGTCGACGATGCCTTGGGCGACGCTTCGGTGCCTTTGACTGCCAATGGATCCTTTGAGCACTATGCGGAGCATGCGCTCGCAATCAGTGCTGGACTTCATTCAGATCGAGCCCTTCAGCGTGAGCTCGCAATCAATGCTCATGATCTTTTTCATGGCGATTTGCATGAGCTCGCAATCACTGCTGGATCACCAGAAGTTCAGGTCGGATCGTTTTTAGGTTTCTCTCCTGAGCCTAGTACAGAGACTCAACGCCTGAGCCCTTTTTGTACTGGTGCAACTGCCATCAGCCATGTCAGGACGTTGAGTCACCAAGGACCCGGAACTGTGTCTCGGCTCAGGAGGGGCCCCTTTTAGTGAGCCGTCCGTTTTGCCAATGGCAACCTGCTGACCACTGCGGTCATTGGAAAACATCAGCGTTGTGTACGCTTGTGGTGCTGGTTTGAACTACTCCCTTTTCACCGTCTACTGCATCTAGGCAGCTGGCTTGGGATTGGAGGGGTAAAGCCCAATACGAAACCCTGTGCTCCCGCTACAATATCCCCTTACATAGCCCTTACATAGGCCTTATATATAATGTAGGTACCTCCAATTTGGGTTCCTGGAATGGCCATTGAATCATGCTCACTCTGACCTTTCCTTCTGTTTTTTCTCGCTACTTTGCAAGCACCGTCAGGGAATGGATTCCATTTTTTGCAAATACTGTGGCATTTTTTCATTTGTCTATTTCCTTTCCCTAAACCCCTCAAGGATGTCAGAGTCCAGGATGAACTGCACTGACAGAGAGGGTGGTGCAGCAGGGAAAATTCCGAACATATCCTAAAATACCTAAACATTTCTCAGGACAAAGATCTTGTCCAATGTGAGTACAACAATCCGAAACAGTCACCTCTTGCACGCAAGATTTGTTTTCGCATCACGTTCACGCTCAATTGTTTCGCATTTTGGTACAGTACCGCTTCTGCGTGTGTGTGAAACATGCAAGGTGCAACAGGCCAAACATCAACATCCATCCAGAAGATCACACAATTGTGGAGTCGTTCAATGCCAATTTTCATTGTAGCTTCAGGCCTCCAGTGGCACAAGGGCGCGATTGACATCCGTAGCTAAAAGGGCTGCACCAACTGAACTGCTCCCATTGACACATTTGTGCAGCCAAGATTCTGCGCGCTCCAACATTGTTACAATCTCGTCGTGGCCTTTCCTTCTTGCATCGTCCAACGGAGTGTTGCCTGAGTGCTGGGACCAAGACCTATGTGACGCTGCTTCCGGCATCACACTCAGTGTTTCGCTGGAATTTCAAGAGCCATATTGAAGAAAGTACTAATATTAATTATTGTAATCTATATGATACTAGTATAAATATGTCCATGTATCAAGTTCATGAGATACAAAATATAGTTGTTTTCATTCTTCAAGTTGCTCCAAAGGCTATTCACGCCCCATGTTGGTTGGGCTGAAGTTCCATCTCCCACGAGTCAAGGGCCCAGAGTCCAGAGGTTGCCATTAACTTTCATGGTGACTCTTGTAGACTGTTTTGAAAATTGAAAGGAGTAGTGTGCAGTTTCACCTTCTTGCATTCAAAGTTGAAGGAGACCTTTGAATTATAACCCAAACGCAAACACATGACACAGTTCAAACGGAAATGAAGAGAACCTCAATGTCAAAGTGCCAAATCAATCGCCATACCAATTGCCGCTTCTCTGTAATCAGAACACGTACAGTAATCAAAGTATTCCCAAGATGCTGTTTTCAAGTGAAATGCAGGCCTCAACACAATATCAACGGACGGTTCCTGTGCTATTTCAGTCCGGAAGTGCTAGGACCAGGAATTGCAACGAGAAAAAACAGCTCAATATCAGGTTGTCCATACATTTCCAATCAGCAGATAGATTGTTCGTTCAGTTTTGTAGATTTTGGCTCTGGCGAGACGTCTTGATAGATATCACTATGATATCAAGACAGGATGTATGACAATGTGTGATGTATGCTAATCATTTTCATGCAGCATATGTTGCATGTGGAGGTTGGAGGTGCGTTGTGCATATTCATATATCGATCATGACGCATCTCTATCAACAAACATTCATTGGGTCTACATCCATTTGCATTGGAGGTGTCTTCTCATGCTGCTTCCATGTCTCAAGCAATGCTGTGTCTTTGGGATGTCGAATGATGTCGAGAATGCCTGTCTAAATGCGTACTGTGTCTCCGCATCTCCAATCACCTTCAGCTAAACAACCCTAGTGCCTAAGGACCCTAAGACACCTTGACTGACTGACTACTGACCACAGGAAGTCTCAACGTTCAATAACAAAACAGCCGCCAGAAAGTAATAAGATGTAATAAGTGATAACTAGTAGCAATACAATAGAATCAGATAAGAAAGCAAAAACCATCAAAAGCCCATCACATCTCCCAGCCGAGGCCCCCGGCCTTTGTTGTCTTTCACAGTCACCGAGGCCTTCGCCTCGACGAGCAGCTTCACCACCTCCGCACAGCCGTAGTACGCCGCCAAATGCAGCGGGGTCTCACCTCGGGCGAGCGACTGCCCCCAGAAATGTCCTTCTGATGCAAAGCAAAGCGAAGACACCGAAGATTGCGAAAAGACTGTGAAAAATCCATGAATGTGCCAAGTCTCCGAGAAGCTGCACATCCAAGGCTCCATCAGGAGCCCCAAATACCGCCAAGTTCAATTCTTTTCATGATTGAAATTATAGTTGTTTCAATCGTGTGATATCTATTGATATCTTCTGTTTTTTCAAATTCTGTCCCATGTGTGGTCACCTTGAAATCTCCCCAAAGCACCGTGTCTCCATCTCTTCAGGGCCGAGAGGCCTTCGTCAGTCCGGGCGTCCACCTCGGCCCCCGCCGCCAGCAGCACCCGGCAGATCTCCACGTGGCCGCTGGACGCCGCCCCGTGCAGCGCGGTCCACCTGTCGCCGCTCTTCGCAGCCACGGCGCCGGGCACCGTCCGCAGCAGGTGGCGGATCCCCCCGAGGTGACCGCGGCTGGCCGCCAGGAGGATGTTGTTGTCGCCTCGGAGGGCCACGGGCCGCCCCGGGAGGGCACCGGAAGGGCCGCAGAGGCCACAATGGAGACCCAAAAAATCGTGGAACACGTCGAATGTTTTCTATCTTTTTTTGAGTCAACAACGAAGTGTATTGATGTGTATTGATGTGTATTGATGTGTATTGATGTGTATTGATGTGTATTGATGTGTATTGATGTGTATTGATGTGTATTGATGTGTATTGATGTGTATTGATGTGTATTGATGTGTATTGATGTGTATTGATGTGTATTGTATGGCTTGGATATGCTTGGATATGCTTGGATTGTATATAACGAAGACTATCGAAAATAGAAACATCATGAAACATCTGGTTTTGAGGTCACTTTTCCAGCTGTTCAACTTTAACATGTTATCATCTCAAACCATCTCAAACTTATGATCCAAGGCCCTTGGCATCTTAACGTCACATGTGGAGCCAGGCCCTGGATCCAATTTTCCAATTCCTCTTGCTCATAGGGCACTGGGGTCACTTGGCGTCTCAAACTAGTCTTGTCAGGTTGTACTCCATCTTTGACATCTACGTATGCAAGCTGCGAGTGTTACCATCTTCTTCGTGTCAAAGTGATGACTGTATATAGTACAGATATGTACAGATAATGTGTGTATGTGGATTGTATCAGTTGTATGGTAATTGGTGTGTGGTCGCATCATGGCATTTGCAAGGGATCAAATGCCTCTGCCAAAACTAGATCCAATTATATTCACGGCCCCTCTGATGTGGAATTGTGGATCATACAACTAACGCACACCTCCAAATACAGATGATGTCTCAGTGAGGTTGCGCGGCTTCCATTGTTTCCATGTTCGATCTGCTCTATCATGTCATCATCTCCACGTGATAATCTCAAATTGAAAATCTAAACTGGTTAGAGGCATGGCATTGTGAGACTCAGAAACGGGTCACGGAACTGTTGCAAAAAAGTGTCCGAAGATCTCAACTAAGTCTATATTTACATCTGAATACATCTCAACCAACTTGCACTCAATCCGTATTTGCCTGCTGTTCAACGCTATCATTTTATAAAATTTTATAAATCATATCTCGCATCTCAAAGCGATGATCTGCAAGATCTCAACCTCTACAGTAAGACCCCAAGATATCCCAAGATCCTGTAAGATCCTGATGAACCTCTCCAAGACCCTGACATCTTGCAGCTTCCTCTGCATCGGCAGCTTCTTGGGCTTCTCGGGCTTCTCGGACTTCTTCAGCCTGCCGCTTGGATGGGCAACATCGCAAGAAACTCACACGGAGGGTCTTGGGCACAGCAGCAAACAGCATGTCCTACATGAAAAGCAGGTGCCCCCATATCAAACCTCTCAAAACTTCAAAGACAGTGTTGAGACACCGATACTTCCGCACCTCCAAGGATGCTACCTCTTCCGCTTTTCCCGTGGGTGATCGAGGGTCAAACTGCAGCTGTGAGATCGGCTCCTTGATGTCAATGACATCGGCGTCCCACACAGATGAATCCTTGATCTCCACGACCAACTTGTCACCGGGCTTGTCACCTGCCTGAGGTGCAGTTGTGGCGTCTTGATCTTCCGACATTGGCTTTGAAGGTGGCACAGCACCCGTCTCTTCAGCATCTCTTTGGACCCTGGCATCCTCTCTTGGCAATGAATTTTCCTGCGAGGCCTGAACGGCCAACTTCCATGGCAGCTGCACTTTCGTCAAGGCTTCAGCAGCAGCAGTGGTGGTCTCGGCCATAGCTGTGGATTCATTGAAGGTATCACTTTTGAATTTCGTGACCCCCAAGAATTCCAGCCAACCTCCTCGGAGGAGCTGGTTCACAATCACTGCCTGAAGCTGCGCCCGAGTGATAGCCTGATAAATAATGGAACGTCCAACCTGATTTGCACTTTGGTCAGCAACTCTTTGATCAAGACCAATGCACACCACGATGAGTGACTCCAGTCCCTTTGCATTCTCCACCGTGTCCAGCACTATCAGCTCTGCATTGTCTGCATGTGTGGCCTGCTCCACCTTGATATTTGGCAAGATGCGTAGAGAATCAGTGAAGGATATTAGCTTGAAGTTTCGCCCTGCAAGGCGTGCCGTCAAGAAGTGTCTTTGCAACGCATCTCGGAACCTCTCCAGAAAGTGAGGGTTGGGAACTAAAAGGGCCAGGCGCTTGTGCAAACTGAGTCCAGCATATATGCGCATCACATGAAACAATGCAGACACAGTATGTTTGGCATAATCTTCAAAGACATGTGCATCAGACTCGAAGAGGAAAGCCTTCAGGGGAGGCCCAGCTGGGCATAAGGAAGCAATCTGCTCTTTCTCTGCAACGCTTGCTTGAAAAGCAGCTGCACCAGCCACTATCCTTTTCGTACTGCGCACCACTTGTGTTAGGCTGATCTCCTTCGCTGCTGGTGGAAAATGCACTGCACCAGATGAGTTTTGGGATACACTCGACAAGAACAGCACTTGTCGTGGTGCCTCAATCTTCTCTTCCAGAAAAGTGCGGTTCCCATCTGTACAGAAAATATCATGTGCTTCATCGATCATGGTCAAGAGAAATCGCATCTTGCTGTCGGGCAAGGTCGTCCAACCCAAGCGGTCACCGTCAACGTGCAAGCTCAAAAAATGTTGGTATGGATGTTCCATCAACACAATGCGCCACAACAACTTGTGAAGCTGCCCGCGGTTTGAAGAGCTTTGAGCGAGCCACCGCACGAAGTAGAGGCCAAGGGCAATGGAAGGCGCCACGAACAAGATTTTACCATCTGGACTGCTCCTGAGCTTATCCAGTGCACACTGCGCAGCGACGAACGTCTTCCCTGCGCCTGCAGGAGCAGATATTATTATGGGTTGAACGACTGGATGCCTCAAATACCCGAAGGTACCGGACACCGCAGCCAACGGGACATGATCAATTCATGTTTTCACGCACAGTGGCCCTGACCCGGGCCATGTGGTGAAGAACCGCTCTATCATATGCATCACACCCACGTGTGGGCCAAGCAAGACGATTTTGCAATTCATCTTCAGGGACCTCAGGGCGGCCGGAAGACAACTGTTCGGCGGAGCAATGCCAGGAGAGATGTTCCCAGACAGGTGGGATTTGCTCACCACAAAAGGGACATTGTTCCCTCACTTCGTGTCCACGCATCTTATCATAACATGCCGTGGAATGCGCAGAACCAAGCATTACGGCCCTCTGATGACTATCACACGTGAGAGAGAACAACTTGCGGGCATGGGAAACACGACTTTCCTCATACGGCACATCAAGCAAATAATGCCTATCACGGCGGTTCTGCTTTTTCCAAAGGGCAAATTGCACTCGGCGCCAACTTTCTCTCACCTTGTGCTCGGTGAGTTTCACAACAGCTTCATCTGGATTGGATAAATCGACATGACCCAAATCCTCATGTGCAAACATCCATGGACCGCGAAATTCCCAGTTCAGCTCTCGCATGCGTGCGCAAATGAAACTCTGCCAGCCTCCAGGTCGTGGCATCCTTCGCCAAGGGGCACGAACTTGGCGCATGGTCCGAATGGAAGACATGGTGGCCCAAAACTCAGCATGATACATATGACCTACAAGCAGGTTGAAAAGAGGTCTCGAAGCGTTACCTTGCAGATAGGAAATGGCATGCCATGCCTTTCGAAGCGAAGGCAACTGTGACTGCGGCAATCGTTCAAACCAAGCACCCCAGGTGGCGAGTGAAATGATTCTGGACCTGTACAAAGACATCCTGATATCGCGGGCAACCGGCAATTTCTGCAAACGGTGAGCGGCAAACACTGCTTCTTGCAAACGGTTTTCAAGAACAGGGGAAACAATAAGGTCACTTTCCTTAAAGTCAATACCTAAGACCCGAGTGGCCGGTCGGAGATACTCACCAAACCCTGCGTCATTGATCTCTTGCTTTTGTTGCGCAGTGCAGGCAACTAAACGCATTTTTTGAACGTTTTCATGGAGACCCAAAGTGGCACTCCAGCTGCGCCATCTATGGATGCCAGCAATTAAACGTGGAACATTAGGCGCGCTCAAAGCGCGATCATCAACGTATGCAACCTGACGCAAGTCTGGAATGGAAGACACATCATGAAGGGGCCTAATGAGCAACATGATAAGAGCCAGAGGTGCAAAGGCATCACCTTGCGGCATGGAGGTCTGGACATGCTCCGGCGTTGGGTGCACAGCTTTCCCCAAGCACAGCCATCGCACTTGATGACCCCATACAAACATCAAAATGTTAGCCCACTCATCTGGCAACCCTTGCAGTTGCATGTTTTCAATGGCCAAACCTGGGTGGACAAAATCAAAACATTTGGAGAAATCTAAAGAAGCAAGAACTTCCTGGTTTTCAAACGCTTCATTGAGTTGCCTCCATGCCGTGGCAACCCCCCGGGATTTCAAGCCTCCATGGCACTGCTCGGGGACCCGAGACGCAATCCATTCCTGAACCTGTGGGGTCCTCACATAAGATGAGGAGACCAACCGAAGAAAAATGCTTTCAACTGCAATAGGCCGCAAAGACCCTACAGTCCCACCGTCATCCTTTCTTAAATGAACCTGACGAACCTGCAGCCATGCCTGTGGGAATTGTTTTAACTGAGACCAATGCAAAACCAAATCACGGTAGTGATCCCAAGCAACAAGCGGGAAATGGCAAACTTCGCTGCCGGACCACCCGTCACATCCGGCTGCAGACCCCGAGGCTCTGAGAGCGGCCTGATGGATGAGGGCAGCATCTGGCATCCAATCAGTTTGGGGTCCAGCCAGGGCTTCCATTGTTCTAAATTCCGGGGGTAAGTGTGGAACGAGGTCATCACGTTTCCAAATACGCTGCCAAAAAGAACGGATACAATCAAGGGTTTGCGTGATCGTGGCGCAAGAATCTTCGGAAACAGAGCGTGGTGTTGGAGGTTTGTGAGGCTTCATCCACCGGGTCACCTCTTTGCCCCCCTGGCGCATTCTGGTACGCCACTCGGTCAGCCTTTGGTTCTTGGACTTCCTGTTTTCAAGCGCAATGCGTTGTTCAAACACTTCAATAGCGTGGTTCCAAGACCCCCAAAGCTCATTGTATTCAGACGGCCAAGTCGACCATAATTTTTGCAATAGCTTTTTGTCTCCCTGGGACTTGGCTAACTGTCGCTTCACTTCATAGAGACGACCAAGCACATTAACAAGTTTTCTGGCAGGGAACGTATTCACCTGGGGGCGTTCAGCCTTGATCACACGAGGCAAATTCCCGCGCGCATGGCCTGGCCTAGGCACGGGCTGGCCACACAAGTGCAATGCTTCACGCATGCTCTTTTCAGCAAACTGGTGAAAATATTCCCAATCTTGGTCGGGATCCTGAGAAAAACATGGCACGTAAGCGGCCCATTGTTCTGCAAGCACGGCCCGCCATTGCTCAACAGGCACTTCCGGAGGACATTCATAGTTAGGCCGCCAAGCGAACCTCCACGTATCAGTCTGGAAAATGGGCAAGCGCAATCTAAGTCAAAACATCTTGTGATCAGAAATCTTACATTCACTGTAACGCGGGCAATCAGCAAAACCGTACCCGCCGCTGAGAATTCCGTAATCAAGACATCTTTTACCTTCGAACCGGCTAGGCACCCATTGATCAGGATCCGTGACAGCCAGAACACTGCCATTCAAGAAAATGGATGTTTCATGAGCTCCTTGATATCTGCAAGCTTCTGTTTCTGGTGGTCAGTAAGATCTGACAAATTTACCAGCTCGTCTTCAAAAGCTTTGCAGAAAAAGGTCTTGTCCACACGTACTTGCCACTTTGTCAAAGCTTTGTTTATCTTGATTTCCAGGTCATTGCTCAAGACCAAATTGCGCATGTATTGCAGCAACTCGATATGCTGGATGCGAAGTCTGATGGCTAGTGATGGACTGCCGTCTGGGAATACAAACTCCTGATCCTTCACTATTGCCACTTCTGTCGGTAGCGAGTCTTTCACTAGGCCCATGAACTTTTCACGTCCAACTTCTGCAAGCATGGTTTGAATAAAATCTGCATGCCTGACACGATCTGTTACAAACAGGTGACCGCTCGTTTGGGACTGTATTGTCCATCTGGCGTCCTCAGGTTTCTTTGGTATCGCTGAGGGAACACCAACTAGAGTCCCTCTGCACCACAGCTTGCCGTCCCACGCATCAACTTTAGCGCCAACTATAAACTCTTCCTTCAGGAAATGGCTGACGTCCACATGATCATAATTCCAAGCCTCTCCTTGCTGCTGCCTCATCCGCTCCAAGTATGCGATTTCGCACTTTTGGCTCCCACCGCAGCCAACTCCATCCCAAAGATTTACATCATCTCTGTTCAAATCCTCAAAAGAAACTATACCTTTGCCAGTCTCTGCAGGGAAGAACACTACCTTGAGACGTTGCTTCAACCTCACGGCTTCGGCCACCTGCTTCTTCCACGTGTGGAACCATTCGCATCCCCAGGAGGCAACTCTGCCACTGTCCTCCCAAGCTTGTTGTGCTTTCTCTTCAGCTTCTTGCTTGGCTTCTTCGGTGGCATCCGCACGAATCACAATGGTCTTCGTGGCTTTCGCATTCTTTACCTCAATCTTCTCCTCTGCGTCGCTACAAGATGCTGGCAGCTCTTTCAAGTAACCGAAAGTCCTGAAGTCCCGCTGCCCATAAATTGTGGGGCAATAGCACTGGCCACCAAATTCTTCTTTATAGTGCTTTCCAAGGCCGTCAGCTGGAGTGCGTAGGAACACGCATGCCACGGATTGTCCGTGGTGTTCCTTGATCAATGCATCCCAACCGGCTGCATATTTGCCAGGAAAGGACACGTAGCAGTCCAACCCTTCTTCCTCCTTGATGTGGCCGGGGTAGGCGATGTCCGCAGTTCTCTCCAAGATGGCTGGCTTGTCTCGCAGTGTGAAGTAGAGATGAGGTTGTCCAATCTCAGCCTGTCCAACGGGGGGGGAGCTTTTCTGCTCATGTGCTTTAGTGCACCTGTGATTCAGGTGTGACGCACTTGTGATTGCTGCGCCTTCTTACAAAGCCAACTATCCTCACAAACTCCAACACTAACTAATTCTGATACTACCCACCTCTATATAGAGCTCATAATCATACTTGAACTTGCAACACCCGTTCCTCTTCCTTGTAGGATGCACATATGGACGACAATGACGATATGTCAACTGGTCTACAGCTCTGTCACAAGAAACTCAGTATGGTGGTCCTATCATGTCCCGTCTGCTCGATGCCTTCGTCATCAGTTCTGGAGATGGCGTTCCTCCCGCTGATGACCTGAACTGATGACTTTTGACGGTTTCTGGTTCCCCTTTGTCACAAGCGATGCGATGTGTACTGCCAATTTGGGAAAAATCTACCTGTGATCTACCTGAACCACCTGCAACCATGTAGTCAGATGAGCCGGACGGACATTCTCCAAAACCAAAGACCAAACTGCAACTATCGTAGCTGTATTCCTGCTTACAATAGAGATCCATAGATGCATACAGTAGGTGGGACTGATCGGTGTGCTCCTTTGCCATTGACTTCAACTTCAACTCTTACCAAGCGATTGCCTTTCATGGCAGAGGCGGCCCTGGTTGCACCAAGTTGCCCAAGCACTTGCTCCACACTTTTCTGCTCCTGCAACCGGCAAAGCTGCAGGGACAGGAAAGCCAATGAAAACCGTCCAAAGGTAGGATCCACCAGAGATAGTGTGTCTACCAGGAGTAAGGCTGGAGCGACAGCCTGTTTGAAGTTGGTAGAACACATATGATGCAAGGATTGGTAAGCGAGACTTTGCATGAAACAATTACAACATGCTTGTAATGTGCCTGATTAGATCGATTCTCTACAATTCCGACTCAGTTCTCCGAAATCTTCTGTGTACAGTCTACAATGTCTACAAACTTATGGCTTGAAAATTGACCACGCCTCTCGCAATCGACTTTCTAGCTGTTGAATGCGCTGAGCTGCAGCGTCTTCTGCTTGACGCGACGAGCGGACCTGCAACACCAACAATACCACCGAGTCATTCTTTTTGGTTGGAGCCTACCATTGTCAACCACATTCCACTGTCCAGCTAACACAAAACAGTCCGACCAACAAAGCACATGATGCAGATATCGAATCGAGGAGCCATAGGTGCAGCCGACCAAGGTCAGCCTAAAACGAGTCTGACAATCTCTGATGATCTCTTAGATTGTATGGTGTCTCTTCTTTCAGTTCCGCCACCTCTTCTTGGAGTTCCTCCAAATCGTGAGCACTGTTGAACAATGGATCTTCGCAAATGCCGAAGACATGTTTTATCCTCGGTTTCAAACACATTCCAGTATTTGGAATCTGGCAGTGTTTGGTTTTGGAGTCCACGAAAAGTCTTGCTGTTTCGCTGCGGTATCGACTGCATCGAAATCTGCTTCACGCTGCAGCTCCTCCACTCTTCTCCGCAGGCTGCCGACCTGGCACAGCACTGTACAGGATGCAAGGCAGAATGCCACTTCTATCATCCAAAAACTTCTGACGCAAGCTGCACCTTGAATCCACAGCAATCTGGGTTCACCATCAAGTTGCATGCTAGAAGACAAGGCAAAAAATAAATGACACGTCCTCCTACATCAGACCCAGCAAACCCACTGTTCAAGTTTGAAGGTCTGACTTTGTCCATGTGTGGCTGCGTTTCTTCCGGTTTATACTGGAAACATCTGGTAAGAATTTCGACCTTAGATGAGGTTCCAAATCGGATTGTTCCAACACGAAAGGAGCTCTGAACTTCATCCACTCAGATCAACGGGATTTATCCGCTGAGCCGACTACTATCACATGACAAATGCGTGTGAATCTTGATTTAAATGGTGAAATTCAAGTTGTAGGGATTTGTTGCCTCGTTTCCTGAAGCTCAAGCACTAAAGTTCAGCACTCAACGGCATCTGCATTTTGGGAGAAGAAAATCCAAAGAGCCGAATCACTTCGACATTTCTCAGAGCTTTGGCGTTGACGTTTCAGGATATAGCAACGCCAAAATAGAGCCAGAGTTGGATACAAAGGGACCATGAGATAATCATGGATATATCTTATATAAATATCAATTTGGGGGTTCGTGCAGTTGAAATTTGCTTGTCAGTGCTGTCTGTCTGCACCCATCTGTAGACGGAAGTGACAACCTGCTCCATTCAGCATCATTTAAGGTCAACCTAAAAGCAATAACAGTTTACATCTCAGGATCTTGGATGGGCACCTCTTCTTGGAGTTGTTCTTGTGCCACCCCTTCTATGAGTCTCTCCGACTCTTGAGCTCCAGCCTGCCACGACTGCTGCAATATGTTGTCCCATCTTCAAACACTGATGTCGATCCTAAAATCGCTTCAAATGCACGAGCATGTTTTAATGCAAACTAAATCTCTGGGCTTGAGGTGGAACTTAAAGTGTTGCCGAATTGCTGTTCGATGTAGTCGACTAAGCCCATCGCAACCTGCGCCCGGCGAACAAAAGTGCCTGCAGCTCCTCCACTCTTCTCCGCAGGCTGCGGACCTGGCACAGCACTGTACAGGGTGCAACGCAGAATGCAACTTCTGCCATCCAAAAACTTCTGACGCAAGCTGCACCTTGAATCCACAGCAATCTGGGTTCACCATCAAGTTGCATGCTAGAAGACAAGGCAAAAAATTAATGACACGTCCTCCTACATCAGACCCAGCAAACCCACTGTTCAAGTTTGAAGGTCTGACTTTGTCCATGTGTGGCTGCGATTCTTCCGGTTTATACTGGAAGATGAGGTTCCAAATTGGATTGTTCCAACACGAAAGGAGCTCTGAACTTCATCCATCTCCAGATCAACGGGATTTATCCGCTGAGCCGACTACTACCACACGACAAATGCGTGTGAATCTTGAATGGTGAAATTCAAGTTGTAGGGATTTGTTGCCTCGTTTCCTGAAGCTCCAGCACTAAAGTTCAGCACTCAACGGCATCTGCATTTTGGGAGAAGAAAATCCAAAGAGCCGAATCACTTCGACATTTCTCAGAGCTTTGGCGTTGACGTTTCAGGATATAGCAACGCCAAAATAGAGCCAGAGTTGGATACAAAGGGACCATGAGATAATCATGGATATATCTTATATAAATATCAATTTGGGGGTTCGTGCAGTTGAAATTTGCTTGTCAGTGCTGTCTGTCTGCACCCATCTGTAGACGGAAGTGACAACCTGCTCCATTCAGCATCATTTAAGGTCAACCTAAAAGCAATAACAGTTTACATCTCAGGATCTTGGATGGGCACCTCTTCTTGGAGTTGTTCTTGTGCCACCCCTTCTATGAGTCTCTCCGACTCTTGAGCTCCAGCCTGCCACGACTGCTGCAATATGTTGTCCCATCTTCAAACACTGATGTCGATCCTAAAATCGCTTCAAATGCACGAGCATGTTTTAATGCAAACTAAATCTCTGGGCTTGAGGTGGAACTTAAAGTGTTGCCGAATTGCTGTTCGATGTAGTCGACTAAGCCCATCGCAACCTGCGCCCGGCGAACAAAAGTGCCTGCAGCTCCTCCACTCTTCTCCGCAGGCTGCGGACCTGGCACAGCACTGTACAGGGTGCAATGCAGAATGCAACTTCTGCCATCCCAAAACTTCTGATGCAAGGTCTGGGTTCACCATCAAGTTGCATGCTAGAAGACAAGGCAAAAAATAAATGACACGTCCTCCTACATCAGACCCAGCAAACCCACTGTTCAAGTTTGAAGGTCTGACTTTGTCCATGTGTGGCTGCGATTCTTCCGGTTTATACTGGAAGATGAGGTTCCAAATTGGATTGTTCCAACACGAAAGGAGCTCTGAACTTCATCCATCTCCAGATCAACGGGATTTATCCGCTGAGCCGACTACTATCACATGACAAATGCGTGTGAATCTTGATTTAAATGGTGAAATTCAAGTTGTAGGGATTTGTTGCCTCGTTTCCTGAAAGCTCAAGCACTAAAGTTCAGCACTCAACGGCATCTGCATTTTGGAAGAAGAAAATCCAAAGAGCCGAATCACTTCGACATTTCTCAGAGCTTTGGCGCTGACGTTTCAGGATATAGCAACGCCAAAATAGAGCCAGAGTTGGATACAAAGGGACCATGAGATAATCATGGATTTATCTTAAATATATTTAAATATCGATTTGGGAGTTCGTGCAGTTGAAATTTGCTTGTCATGGCCGTCATTTATCTGCACTCATCTGTAGACGAAAGTGACAACCACTGCTCCATTCAGCATCCTTTTTAAGTTCAACCTAAAAACAATAACAATTTAAATCTCGGGATCTTGGATGGGCGCCTCTTCTTGGGGTTGTTCTTGTGCCGCCGACTCTTGAGCTCCAGCCTGCCACGACTGCTGCAATAAGTTGTCCCATGTTCAAATACCGATGTCGATCCTAAAATCGCTTCAAATGCACGGGCATTTTTTTAATACAAACTAAATCTCTGGGCTTTAGGTGGAACTTAAAGTGTTGCCGAATTGCTGTTCGATGTAGTCGACTAAGCCCATCGCAACCTGCGTCCCGGCGAACAAAAGTGCCTCCAGCTCCTCCACTCTTCTCCGCAGGCTGCGGACCTGGCACGGCACTGTACAGGGTGCAATGCAGAATGCAACTTCTGCCATCCAAAAACTTCTGACGCAAGCTGCACCTTGAATCCACAGCAATCTGGGTTCACCATCAAGTTGCATGCTAGAAGACAAGGCAAAAAATTAATGACACGTCCTCCTACATCATACCCAGCAAACCCACTGTTCAAGTTTGAAGGTCTGACTTTGTCCATGTGTGGCTGCGTTTCTTCCGGTTTATACTGGAAACATCTGGGAAGAATTTTGACCTTAGATGAGGTTCCAAATTGGATTGTTCCAACACGAAAGGAGCTCTGAACTTCATCCATCTCCAGATCAACGGGATTTATCCGCTGAGCCGACTACTATCACATGACAAATGCGTGTGAATCTTGATTTAAATGGTGAAATTCAAGTTGTAGGGATTTGTTGCCTCGTTTCCTGAAAGCTCAAGCACTAAAGTTCAGCACTCAACGGCATCTGCATTTTGGAAGAAGAAAATCCAAAGAGCCGAATCACTTCGACATTTCTCAGAGCTTTGGCGTTGACGTTTCAGGATATAGCAACGCCTAAATAGAGCCAGAAAAGTTGGATACAAAGCGACCATGAGATAAAGATCATGGATATATCTTAAATATCGTTTTGGGAGTTCGTGCAGTTGAAATTTGCTTGTCAGTGCTGTCATTTATCTGCACTCATCTGTAGACGGAAGTGACAACCTGCTCCATTCAGCATCATTTTAAGGTCAACCTAAAAGCAATAACAATTTACATCTCAGGATCTTGGATGGGCACCTCTTCTTGGAGTTGTTCTTGTGCCACCCCTTCTATGAGTCTCTCCGACTCTTGAGCTCCAGCCTGCCACGACTGCTGCAATATGTTGTCCCATCTTCAAACACTGATGTCGATCCTAAAATCGCTTCAAATGCACGAGCATTTTTTAATGCAAACTAAATCTCTGGGCTTGAGGTGGAACTTAAAGTGTTGCCGAATTGCTGTTCGATG